TAAGGATATTTATTTTTCTTAATTAATTTGTTTATTTTCGTACATAACTGACTTAACGCTGTATATCTTGTTCAACTCAACTTTGATAAACCTTTAACGGGACGAAGAGGTTATGTACCTACTTTAGCTTGCTTCACAAACTCATAGACTAGATGACTAAGATTGTATAGTGTTTCCTAGATTTAATCTCAATATAATCTTAGATTGAAGACTATGGGTAAAAGGGAAAAATCCGTAATAGCATAAAATGATGTAATCCCATGAAGTTATACTTTTATTTCCTATGTACATCTTTACAACGAAAAGCTGTGCTACAAGTGTTTCTAGTGTACTTATGTTATGGATTTGTTATTATGATTTGTGATTAATGAACGGGATCCGAATTGTTTTAAATAGATGCAATAGTACGTAGCCGGCTAATAATTGCTCGCGAGATTAATTGTTGATGCAAGCTCCTGAGGAACTGTTCGTAAAAGATAAGACTACTGACCATTTGGTTGACTTATTATCATAGCAACATAACGGGTGTGCATGCAAATATTAGAAACAAAAGTGATCATAATCACACGTCAGTTAACAAATAAATGATTGAAAGATATAAGTTTCCTTAGTCACTCACACAAATGAAATCAAAAAGTAATTATCGACCTTAATTTCAGCTTCGTCATATCAGTTAAAAAGACGGTTTTAAATCTACGATGATTGAATATATTGATTTGTGCTGTTCTCTACGTCATCTCTTGGTTGTCTAGAAAGAAGTAGTGTTATCCTACATAAATGTAGCTCACTTTGCTAATACTTTTTAGATGTAGATCGTCAATTTTCACCTTGTTGAAATTTGTTTATTAGTCCTATTCTGTGTAACAATTTTGGTGGGAAAAGGTACAAGAAACTCGTGAACTTCAACAATAATGACTACGTTTTTATATATTTCAGTTATGGGCAGATTATTTTTCTGTGAGAAATATAACAGCTTCGCGCCTAATATTGCATTTAGGTACAGAAATAAACATTTTTAACGATAAATCAAATTTATGGATCCTAATAGTTAATTGAAATGGGAAGAAACAAACGATTTATTGCTCATATTCATTTCATGAAAAGACGGTGCATTTGGGCGTCATTATAGTATTGGCCCATTGATACCTGTGTTGGTAATATTCCCCGTGGAAAATAGAATAAATTAGTCCCCTCTTTTGAATTCTCGTTAAACATCTCACTTTTATGACTAATCTGTTTTAATATACTCTTCTCATACCTTTACATCTAACAGTGTAAACTAATTGATGTTTTATTAGCGCACGCTATTAACATTAATCTATTTCGAATAATATTTGAGTCGAAACACTTTGTTTTATTTAGATTGGATTGGAACATCATAAAATTTGTGCGTAGCATACAAGCACCAGATTGTGTAATTTATGGGTTTTGTTCAGCTCTTACCTCTTCTACTCTTACTCAAACACAGCCGGGAACTAACAGTTTACACTCTGTTAATAATTCTGCGTGTGTATCGCAACCACAAAATTCGAACATAATATCACAACAGGGCAGTGGTTTGATGAATAACACAACTGGTGGCTCTGTTCCAATTAATCGACCATTTGTACCTGTAAATACAGGCGTACCGACTTCGATTCCATCTTCTAGTATTATACAACCACCGATTGATCCTATATTATCCTCGAATACGGGTGTGAATTCACTTACAAGTGGATCAGGAAGTGCGGGTTTTCCGAATTCAATACCTGGTTACCCATTCTTAATGTGTGATAATGTTGAAGTTAATCGTTTTGTACTATACTCCTTATTACAAATGTATCATACGTTTGGTGAGTAAACCAACATAAAGTTTTATTTTTATTGTGGTGCCATTATTTGGACCACTCGTAAATACCATATTTATGTATATTTCAAATGGGATTATTTGTTGTACTAAGCTGTTTCAAATCTTGTTAAGTAACTGAATATCATTTAATTTTAGCTTACCACATAATACACCACAGATTGTCTTCTTTATATTGATTAAAATTGATTGTAACGTCCAAGCTTGATGATGGTCGAGTACACTAGTTCTGCTCAAGATATACCAGGGCTAACTTAAAGCAAATGTTTTCGATGGTGGTGATAAGTCTCTCAACAGCTGCGTGACTTACATTGATTAATTTCTTAGGTTTATGTGTTTCTTATATTGAATCAACATCCGCCCCCCTCATTTCCATGTTACCTAAAGTAAGCATGGATAGATTGATCCATTCTTTTAGTTAGACCCAGACAACAAACACTGAAGCCTTCGATTTCTATTTTAAACCATGCAAAAACATGTACATTCGTTGTCTTAGAGTCAGTCAGTCAGCTACAACTTAGGACCAGGCACATATATGCATCGGTCCAGGTTGCCACACCGCATTAGCACAGCAAGATGAACACCGGATTCATAGGAGTGGTTAGGTCAAGGGTGGTAATATATAGGAGAAAGATAGCATATAAGGATACAGTACAGGAAGAAAGAATTAGTTAGTAGAAAGAAAGATATGAAGTGATTTTAATCTCTTAGTTTAAGGGAAGACAGGGAGTGTATACACCTACGCCATTGTGATCGATTCTGAGCCATGTCACCAAGGGTCTCCAACCATTGGTTACGATGGTCACGCGAACCCCAACCAAGTAGTCTGCATCTACCAACATGGCTCAGACTAGAGGTTAGTGTCTTCAAGCACTGATGCCACGTTTTGGTTTGGCCGCCCCTAATTCTCTCCTAACCATCTCTAATACCCGTTAGCATTGCACGACGTGGTAATCGGTGTTCAGGCATACGTAACACGTGACCCAACCATCTCAGTCGATGAAGATTAACAACCTCATCAATTGATTTACCATCATTACCTAATACCCTGCGTCTAACCTCACTATTACTTACCCGGTGATCCCAACAGACGCCAGAAATATTTCTAAGGCATCTGTGGTCAAATACTAGTAGCTTGCGGGTGTCTTCTACTCTTAAAGACCATGTTTCGCTGCCGTAAATTAAAACAGAACGAACTGCCGCGCTGTATACTCGTCCTTTTATTGATAGACGGATATCTCGCCTTCGCCACAGGTGACATAAGTTGGCAAAAGCCAAACGAGCTTTTCGAATCCGTGCTGAGATTTCGTCCGATACCAGCCCATTACGGCTGATCAGACTTCCAAGATAAGTGAAGTTGTCGACGCGTTCGACTACTTCACTCCCTATCTTTAGTCCAGGTGTTGACGCAGGCCAGTCCTGAAGCAACAACTTGCATTTAGAGGGAGAGAAGCGCATTCCAAACATTCTGGCATTGTTGCTCAGTGCTACCAAAAGACTCTGCATTCTATCAGCGTCTTCACCAAACAAGACTATGTCATCCGCGTATTCTAAGTCGATAAGTGGACCTCCTGGAAGGAGATCAATACCCGAGAATTCAGTCGATGAGAATGTTATTTCCATCAGTAGGTCTATGATGAAGTTAAACAGAAATGGAGAAAGTGGACAGCCTTGACGGACACCACTTGAAGTTGCAAAAGTAGATGACAGTTCGCCATAAGCTCTGACTCGACTAGTAGTGTTCGAGTAAAGAGCCTTCACATGGTTTATGTACTTCTGGGGTACGCCTTTCAATGACAGACACTGCCACGGAATTTCGCGGTCTACCGAGTCAAATGCTGCTTTTAAGTCAAGAAAGACCACCATTGTCGGACGTCGATAAGTATGCCTGTGTTCTAGAACCTGACGAATAGTGAATATGTGGTCGATGCAGCCACGACCAGGTCTGAAGCCAGCCTGATTTTCTCGTGTTTGCACTTCACGAGTCTTAGTTAGGCGTCTGATAATTATCGAGGCTAGTATTTTAGATATTATATTAGTCAAACTTATACCTCTGTGGTTGTCACAGGATGATTTTGACCCTTTCTTATATATTGGGACGATAAGTGATTGTGACCAGTCAGATGGAATAACGTCTAACTCCCAGATCTTTGCTAAAATATTAGTCAACCTAATCGCTAAAATTGAACCACCATCCTTAAAGACTTCTGGAGCCAATCCATCTGGACCAGCTGCCCTTCCTCGTTTCAGATTAACTATAGCCTTTTGAACTTCTGCTAGATTTGGGAGACCTACTTCAATGTTGCATTCACACTGTCTGGGAATGGAGGGTAGTTGTAGAGTAGCTGAAGGCCAACTGAACTGTTCTCTGAAACTTTCCGCCCATCGTTCTAAACGTCTGGACTGGGAGCAGATGAGAGTATCATCTTTTTCCGAAATAATCTCACTTACACTTGACTTATTAGTCTTAGAACCATTCAAACAATTGAAGTCGTTTGATGGAGAATGTTTCACGTATCATCATTGGTTTCACCTACTCTTTGTTGGCCTTAAACTGTCCGTTAACCACTTACCGTGTGAGGTCCAAATAATATTTTATCGTGTGCGTACTGGAAGTTGAATTAGGTGGTAGTCCCTTGCTCCTCTGCTTGGTTTTTATCCAATTTTGTTTTTGAACCAGCTGTCCTACCAATTCTAACCGTAAAAATACTATGCTTTGGATTTCTTTCATTATATTTTAATATTCAAAGCTTTCGAATCTTTCCTCTTCAATTTACCAATCCTCCATATTTCCTTTCTTTAATCTAGATTTGGAAGAAGCAAGTGGAATTCGGCCGAATCTAGTTGAACAAATTCGCTCCATGTGTGAACAGTGTGGTCCAAATAGTCTGATAGATTTACCTCAGCTAATCACAAAACGTTTGCCTGATTTTCTAATTCTTGTTATACGTCAGTTAACTAATCCAAACACAGGTGAATTTAACATTGGTAGTCTCCCATCATCGGATCCCATGAATGTAGAGTCAATCGAATCAACTTTACCGTATACAGATAAATCTACTAGTTTATCTAAACTTTGTTCAATGGTACAAGAGGAGTACACTTGTTTTTCTAGTAAGTTCTTACTTTATTTAATACAATAAAAGACAAAATATATGTGTAACATTTATGTTGGTTTATTATGAAGATTTCCCAAACATTTAATAATATTTCACGATATTGCTCAACTATCTTCCAATATCATTACTCCCAACAAAGTTAGACTACACTAGTCACGATTTCTTACTATAACATCTGAAAATACTTCTTGAAATTAATCACTACTGAATACATGATTATCATTAGTATGGTGGGTTTTGGTTATCTAAGATCAGTCCTTGATATGAACTAGGAAACTCAACAATCTCTGAGAATCCTGTTTACCGATAATAATCATGCTCACTAATCTCGAGAGAGGTAATTTCAGGAGTTGTTATGAGTAATCGTTATTAATCAAGTTCAACTACGTCCGTAATGAGACATTTACCTTGGCTTTGGAAGATGGCTGGACGGTATCACAAATTGATTGGAGTTTGAAATATAAACTGCTAGATGCTAACTCACCAGTTCAAACAGTGTGCTCTCACAACGAGGTCTGAAAGTTCTAGGTCGATCATAGGTGGGGTCATGCGTCCATACTAGTGAGGTGTTTAATACTAGTAGGAACGGATTTCCAGTGCTTCTTGGTTTTCAGTAGTTGTCTAGATACTGTTAGTCAGTTTAATAAATTAAGAAATCTCCAGTCCTCACAAACCCTCCATCCTGAATAGTATATGTTATCATGGTTTACAATACACTTGGAGTCATGAGACCTTCAGCATTCGATTTTACTTTTAGAAGTCTCTAGTTATCTATTTCAAATGTCTCGACTTGTTCTCCCATTTTTCTTCAGAACGTAAAGTGATGGTTGCTTTGGCTCTGGTTAAATAAATTTTATTATTTTTCTTCAGTTCGGTACTCTTATTCATTTTTGGAAAAATTAACAAAGTACGAATTAAATTTATATGGTTACTTTTAGCATACAGTGTTGGTATTTCTGTGGGCTTAAATTTGTACAGAAAGATCGTTATCCTTTGCTTATGGTTATCAAGCGATTATAGCTACTATTGTTTTCATGATTTTGATAATCATATTTCTTATTGTTTTGGCACCAGAAGATGTGCAGAAAGTACACATCGACAATCTCCATGTCCTTTCATGTTCTCGTTTCATTTTTATTTTAGATGGGAATTTTGAATGGAGCAATGCAGTTAGTCGGAGTAATGTGTTCTTATGGTGAGTTTCGTTGACTTTTTTAACTGCTGAACTAAATGTGATATCCTGCAACTTTTCTTACTTTAAAATTTGAATAAGACAAGAACAACGAACATGGCAGAATAATAGGAATTCATTTATTTAATGGATTATTACCGAATACTTACAACCTAAAAACACTAGTAACAGTATAAATAAATAGATTCGTATTACTCTGTGACCTTCATTGTTCTTGCTTCATCCTAACTGTTCTATATGTAACGTGGCTTTTTAGGTGTTTGCTCTATCGTTCATTCGGACTTTTTTATTTAATCATTTGATTAGTCATTGTTGGTATTTGTCTGCACATAATAGATGTAAAACACAACTCGGATTGTAAAATTGTTTCTTCAATGTTTGTGTGTAGACGACTGAAATATAATTCTTCATCCAACTCTGTCCTGAGCAATCCTTTCCAGCTGCTATTCATCCTTTTCATGTCTGCTTCCGATTCTTGGCTCAGCATGTTCTTTGACCTTCCTCTTATGCGTTTCCCTTTAGGAACCCAAGTTAGTGCTTGCCTCGTGATGCAGTTTGATGATTTCCTCAATGTGTGTCCTATTCACTTCCAACGGCTTTTCCTAGTTTCCTCCTCAGTTGGAAGCTGGCTTATTCTCTCCCACAGTAGGCTGTTGCTGATGGTATCCGGCAAACGGACATTAGGTATCTTGCGTAGTCAATTGTTTGTAAATATCTGTGCTTTGTTTCGATGATGGTTGTAGTAGTTCTCCGAGTTTCAGCTCTGTACAATAGAACTGTCTTGACATTCGTATTGAAGATTGTGACATTGATACTGGCTTACTGTTGTTTTGAGTTGCACATGTTCTTCAGTTGTGGGAATGCTATCCTTGCTTTGTCAATCCTTGCCTTTACGTCTGAATCAGATCCTCCTTGTTCATAGATAATGCTGTCCAGGTCCAGGTACGTGAAAGATTCCGTATCTTCCAGAGCTTCTCGATCAAGTGTGATTGAGTTGGTGTTCACTGTGTTGTATTTGAGGATCTTGCGTTTTCCGTTGTGTATGTTGAGGCCTACTGATATAGAAGCTGCTGCTGCATTGTTTGTCTTGACCTGCATTTGTTGACGTTTATGGTATCGAAGAGCTAGGTTGTCTATGAAGTCTAAATCGTCTATTTGTATGCAAGCTGTTCATTGTATTCTGTGCTTTTCCTGAGATGTGGAGGTCTTCCTAATCTAGCCTGCCACTGGAAGAAAGAGGAAAGGGGAGAATAAACAGCCTTGTCTAACACCGGTCTTCACTTGGAATGCATCTACCAGCCGTTCTCCATTCACGACTTTAGAGTGTAGTCTGTCGTAAGAATCCCGTAATATAGTAACGATCTTGTCAAGTACACCATAGTGTCGAAGAAGGTTCCATAAGGTCCTCCTATCCATGCTGCCAAACGCTTTCTCGTAGTCAAGGTAGTTGATATATAGTGACAAGTCCCATTCAATCGATTGTTCAACGATGAACCGTAGTGTTACAGCTTGGTTTGTGCACGACCTATCGTTACTGAATTCAGCCTGTTGATTTTGACGTTGGTTGTCTACTGAATCTTTCATCCTATTCAGCAACACTTTGTTGAAAACCTTTCGTGGTACTGACAGTAGTGTGATGCTCTTTAGTCTTCACATTTGTTCAGATCGCCGTTCTTTGGAGTGAGCAGGTTGGAATCTTGTTGATATATCCTTCTTTCTAGTCTGTTGTAGTTTTATTGGCTCGTTTAATGTTACTCAATAATCAAATATAGATTCATTTTTATGGCTTTCATTTATGTTTTTTCGCATGAGGTCTGTTTGGCTACCCGCATAAAGCGGAGATAAATCATACGACTCAGCAGTTGAATACTGGAACCACTCTCTTTTGAAGTATGATTATTGTTGTCCAAGTTGCTCGTCATACATTTTTTATGTATATCTTTCTACTAACATTATATCACATGAATTTCTTTGTTTCTTTCCTCTTCGCGATTTAAAACTTTGTTGTTTTTCTTTTTCTATTGATATGTAGTTTATTGTTTCGGTATTTTATGGAATATCAAAATATACCGAACAAACCAATCAGGTTAGTTGGTTATTTATAGTAGATTTTGAATCTTAAGTTACCTTGTTGATTTCCTATAAAATATCTGTTTCAATCACTTTATTTCAATTATTTGGTTCAATGAAGGTGTTTATAGAGTTGTAAATGATTTTGACGAGTTTGTGACAGGCATGTAGACGTTTTATATTCTATGCTGTATTTTCTATATACATTAGAAATGGTAACTACACCTATGATAGCTTGCTACTCTCAACCGGTTTATTGCATTTCACACTATAAATTTACTGAGTCGATTAGGTTGAATTTTTTCGTAGGTAATTCATAAGTCACCCACGCAAATAACTTTAATTCAATGGCTAAGCACACCAGTTGTGGTCCATGATATTGACTGTTCCACAAGGCATCAAAATATACTATGCAGTTGGTGAATTCGACCAAAAGTTAACCAGATTCTCTTATAGTATTCAAGATGTTTTGATATGGTTCGCAAAATCCGCGTATCAACTTGGATAATATCTGCGTGCTATTCAACTATTATGTTATGAAAACTGATATATATATATATATATATATATATATATATATATATATTATTGAATGCTTACAAGCTAATTAGCTGTTTTAAACTATGTTTCTGTTTATTTTAATTAGTCTTTTACACCATATGTCTGCCAAATTTCTCAATCGACAACTTCGTATGCTTTGTGACTACATAGTGTCTTCTTTGACATTCACTGCACAAGTGAATTTTACAACTGAAAAGGTTAGTTAAATCAATCGGAGTTTCATAGTTTGTGAAATAATTGTTCTTGCTTATTTAAAACGAAATTTCTGTTTTTTGTATATTCCATCATGTTTTCTTTGTTCTTACATATATTCTATCTGTTGTCTTTTCGTTGATCAAGTTCAATTCAACTAGATATTTGGAATAATTCTCATTTGAACGACGTTTTCTCCAACATAATCAGTCGTTTCTTTCACGTATTACAATCAATCGAGGATAAACCAAATGCTGAAATAACTTTTACAGATGTTTACTTATCGTTTCATCTGTTTTGCATGTGTTCACTAGAAAGCTATCTTTTTATTTTAAGAATACATTTGATAAAAAGTTACTGATTTGTTTGTCTGTGGACTAAAGACACTACTTACCAGTTCCAAATAAACTAAATGAAGCTTTGTTCATGATGTTCTGATGCCTCGATAATTTATCTATGTATTTAACTCCGTTTACTATTTTGTTTGCTGATTTTCCACTTTAGAAGTTAAACGTTCATGTTTGTTTCTCTGTTATAGTGTCTTTCTACATTGTCAGATTTCTGTGTACGTTGGCGTGTTGTTTCGTTAGATCGATTTCTATTGTTCTTGGTAAGCTTTTTTGTTATTTTGATCCATTATATTTAAGCTCTTGTGGCAGAAGGAATTATTAGGATTGCTTTTTTCAATACCACTAAATGAAAGTGTTGGTGTTCCTTTATTAATCAGTGTTTTGGTTGTATGAAAAATACGAGATAATTCACTCATTAACTTTAGGTTTTCGAGAAATTTGTCATAGAAAATTGACCATGTGTGAATTTTACTCATAGTCTTTATATAATTAGTAAATAAAATTGGACTCAGGCATTTAATCTATTGTTAGTTAGTGAAACAAGCTAAACTGTGCAGATTACTTAGTCGGGTGTGTCAGTTTGACCAGTTTTCGTTGCTCATTTCAAAGAACAATTGATACGTTGCAAATCTGTCACCGTTTGCTGTTTATGAAACAATTTATATATATCTTCTTATTTTGTATAAATGATATGGTTGGAGCCAAATTTATTCATTTCACTAATCGACCTATAATTACTTGAAATATTTTTCGTTTTCAATTAAATCCAAAGTTTACTACTCCTAATAATATGATTCTACCCATTGATTGGCGTTTAGGATTACTATATTCGGTTGTAAAGCACATCCGACATTGTACTGTTGTTGAATCAAATATTCAACTTATTCTATATTTCTAGTTTATTAGTGTTTTTTGTATTGGAAGAGTGTTAGCATTGTTTGTACCCTACTCTAGACCAGGATTTCGATCCACTTCTACTGATGGTGTTTTTATTAGTAAGTGAGGTAGAGTCTGAAGACTCGTTACTGGATACATATTATGTTAGAAGTCAGAAGTCATTTGTTCCCCATGAAAGTAATGAGAAATACTTGGTAATGAAAGTGAAATGGTATTCTGATATTTTAATGACTGACTTGTGAGTAAACTTCATCAGTTTTTTTCAAATGGAAATCACTAAATCTGAATTATACATTGACAGTACAAGTTAGAAGTAGCTTTTTTAGATGAAGTTTTGGGATACAAATATCAAAGTTGTTATTTTCAATATAGTCACATAAAAAAGCATATAGTTTCTATTAGTGGAACATTTGTAAAGGGAGAAGTGACATGCAATGAGATCATTTTTGCTACCATTTATATTGATATTTCTAATTGAATTAACAAAATGAATCAAGAGAACTGTATATATTTAATGTGATTTCTGGCAGCTTGTAAAATTCCATCTAATCATTTACCAATCAAATGATATGGAGAGTTATTCGTATCAAGTATGGGACGTAGGGAAACATCATTTTTATAAACTTTTGATAGTCCGTATAGTCTTTGTATAGCAGAACCAGATGGTCTGAGATGTTTGTAGAGGTCACAATTGGTAATGAACTCATCGTTCGTCTTACTTGAGATCTAAATGTGCAATTCAAATGTAACAATGATCTCTATAGACAAACTGATAGAGTTTCCACTGGACCCTCTCTTAGCTGATTGATTTATGGCCAATCTGGAAAAGACGGTTTTTTCAATGACTGAATCATCATTATCGCCTAAAAAGCATAATTTGATAACCGCCATTATAACTAGATTATAAGTAAATAGTTTTTCTATGGAGATTTATGCTTAAAATGTATAATTTCTTTGATAAAAATATAGTCATTTCTTTCTTTCTTTCAATTTCCAATAGCTCATGCATACAAGATACCAACACTCACAACTCTTTACTGTAAATCGAATCATTGTTTATCTGTTTACACAATCGGAGCAAATCACTAATGGGATAAACTATTTGGATAAAAAATATGAGGTCATTCTTTTTTCTATGAAAAGTTTTTATTTGTTTTGATGTATGTTGTTTCCGTATCAGTGTTTCTCACTGTCAATCGAAAGAACAGATCAGACTAATGATTAGTCGCTTAATCATTTCATAACGATTTATACCTTATTACTGAATTATTATGCCTAAACCTCATCCGCGCTACTTTAACTGTGCCTAGTATGGAAGCTGATTAGTAGAAACAATTATTTAGTTCCATTAGTTTGTTCGATACGAGTTCATAAACGAATAGATTCATTTATATTTTTCGCTCAATACTTTGTTGCTGGTATGATCACTCCGCTGACAATCTACTCGTTTACATCCATATGTGATCTGATAGAGATCAGTTTTGTTTATCACGAATTAAATGAAATGTTATTGTTATTCAGGGCAGAAAAAGAAGCTAGGGATTTCAGGTAGTGTATCTGTTGGAGCACATATGGGAGGGTGTGTATGTAATGATGTCAAATTATACATGATTTTGAGAAAAATTTGCTCTACTTTTATTATGTTCTGAATTATAATGTCATTGTATAAGTATTTATTTATTTATTTGAACACATAAATATTGGTACAAAGGGGTACCGAATACATATGCGCCACACGAGTCACTTGATTTGTGTGTGGACTGTGATGCTGTCCGGGTGCTCAAACCGAAGCAGGTGGTCTTCTTAGGGGGCCACATACTGAGCCTTTGACCTAATGATCTAATCCACAAGGCAGTGAAGCATCGTGAGGAGATGCAGTCCCATGGTAGCCGGTGACCAATAGTTGGTTCATACGCCATTTGTTCCCTGAGGGTACTGGAGCCCATGTGCACCATTGGTTTTGAATGAGGGTTTTCCAACTTCCTAGGTGGATCCTCCACATCCATCAAACCCGTTAAAGCGCCGGACATTCGCTTTTCGTCCTCTCAATTTCGTAAACAACAGCCCCGCCACGAGAAGGCAGTGAGTAGGACTTCCCTGGCAGTGGCTGTATATACGTGGCCATGTGAGAGCATTTCGAGAGGGAGAGTAAACTCTCCTCATCCTTGACTGTACCAGGGCATTTGGGGCTGTTGTTTATTGTTCCTATAAGTACTTGGTTTTTTCCTAAATCTACCGTTATTATTACATGGTCTTTACATCATACACTATGTGAGATACGTGTAAAATAATATAAACAAATGTTAAGTGTGCATTAAACAATTTTAGACTGTTAATCGTACTTACTAAAGTTCTATATTTACAAGCGAAATTTTGTCCTACTTTATTTATACTATTTACATTTGTATTAGTGGATGTTAAAAATGAAGTCTCGCTTGTATGTACATATTTTAAATTGTTTAAACTATTTTCAACATTTCTTTGATTTTTAATGTAGGCTAATTCCATTAATAGCGATTCAAGTACACTGAGAAAATCACCTCATTCTGACCCATTGTCTAGTCGGGATTGGTTTTCGTGTATTCGTGCTTTGCATGAAATTATTCCTGATCAATGGATTACGTATCCAAAGACTTGTACAATATCTTCTAATACTAGTAACGATCCATCAGATGAAACCGACAAACCTCCTTATTTACCTGTATTCTATGGTCACTTGTTATTACGTTTGCTACCATTGTTAGAAGTTGTAATAATGCAGTTCTTAATGTGTGAAGTTCCATTTGTTCTATTGATACCATTTTGCCGAGCTGTTGCTCCTTTGTTTCGTTATCACAGTAAGTTAACATTTTTTAGAGAAAAACTAAATCTATACTTTTCGACTTAATAACCAATTATGTTTCACTAATTTTTCCCATACTACCCAGATACATAAAGGTTTCTACATCCTCCAAAGCTTCTCCTTCAATTGTGATTGGATTGGTGCATGCTGTATTGTATCAGAGAATCTTCATTTTCCCTTTGTGTACGTTAAGACCTCTGCTGCTACACTGGTCGTCTTCTGCATTTGTTATTGCGTGTGCGATAGAAGAGCCAAGTCATCTGCGAAGTTTAGATCGTCCAGCTGCATCCCAAATGTCGACTTTATCCCATGCTTCCTCACAGATGTTGACGTCTTTATAATCCAGTCGATCACCAGGAGAAAGAGGAAGTGTGAGAGTAATTAACCTTGCCTGACACCGGTATTTACTTCGAACGAGTTTGTCAACTGTCATCCATGCAGGATTTAGCAGCTTATCCATTATTGGAATTCCGTATGATATTGACTATCTCCTCAGGCACTCCTTAGTGTCAAATAAGCCTCCATAGTTTTGTCCTCTCTACGCCATCGAATGCTTTCTTGGAGTCAATGAAGTTGATGTAGAGTGATGAATTCCATTCAATTGATTGTTCCACAATGATCCTTAGTGTTGCGATTTGGTCTGTACACGATCGATCCTTACGGAATCCAGCTTGTTGGTCTCGAAGTTGGACGTCTACGGAGTCCTTTATTCTGTTTAACAATACCCTGTTGAAGACTTTTCCCGGCATTGAGAGAAGAGTGATGCCACTGTAGTTATCACAGTTGCTGAGATCGCCTTTCTTTAGTATTTTGACCAGAAGTCCTTCTTTCCAGTCTGTTGGTACTTGTTCCTCATCCCAAATCTTATTGAAGAGAATGTGGAGTATCCTTGCAATTACCGCTACGTATGTTTTTAGTGCCTCTGCTGGAATGTTGTCTGGTCCTGCTGCTTTGCCATTCTTGATTTGTCTGATGGCCATGCTGATTTCTTCGATTGCTGGTGGACCAACAGTGATTGGGAGGTCCGTGTGTTCTGCTTCGATGATGGGTGGGTTCAGTGGGGCTGGTCGATTCAAAAGTTCTTTGAAGTGTTCTACCCACCTGTTTCGTTGTTCTTCAATGTTGGTGATTACTTTGCCTTCCTTGCTTTTCACTGTTTGCTCCGGTTTACGATGATTTCCATAGAGTTTCTTTGTTATGTCATACAGTTCTCTCATGTTTCCTTCTCTTGCAGGCTTTTCCGCCATCGTTGCTAGATCTTCCACATATTTACGTTTGTCAGTTCTAATGCTCCTCTTCACTTGCTTGTTTACTTCTGTGTATTCAGCTTGTGCCTTGGCTTTCTCTGTTCTTGTTCGGCTAGTATTGATTGCTGCCTTCTTGTTCCTCCTTTCTTGAATCATATCCAGTGTATCAACAGTGATTCATTCCTTGTGATGGTGCTTCTTGTGGCCCAGAACCTCATGACATGTTGAAGTGATTGCCTTTTTGATCCCCTTCCAGTTGCTCTCCACAGTAGTTCCTTCTCCATTGAGTAGATCATGAAAGGCCTGTAACTTATTGCTGAGGGCACTCTTGAATTTGTTGAGTTTGTTAGTATCCTGAAGAAAGGCCGTATCGAACTTTTGTGATATGTGTATGTGGGGCATTTTCTCCCTGTCTCCCACATTGCATGATCATTAATGTTTGCTCTGGTTGTCAGATTGGATATCAGCCTCGTGACCTCCGTAGGAACTGGCCTTTCACCATGAGGCTTCATAGCTCTTCTAAATTAAGACCTTCTAACTTCCAGCTCAGAGTTTAAATGTTTTGAATTATTATTTCTGGTTATCATATTTTTAGCGAGTTAGTTTCCTACGGTAAGGAGTCGCTAACTCCATGCCCAACCCTCCTCCTTTATCCGGGCTTGAAACCGGCAGTGGCCTCAGAGGAGGGGTCTTTTTAGTGAATCAATCAGCCTGTTAAACACAATGAATTTCTTTGTTTCTGAAGGCCATTGAGATAAGTCTACTTATTGTAGCTTCAGAAGATTTGCTTTTTAACGTTAATTATATGAAGAAAGACAGCTTGTTAAACAAGAAATTCTGTATCATGTGATTCAACTCTTTTTAAAAGGGAAATCGAGTGACAACTGAAGCATATTTTTCTTAACACCTTGTATAAATTTCATCTAATTGTGGAGGACAGACTTATTTTGTACATGCTTTTGCATATCTTGGAAATTTCATATCTGTAACTATGCATCAAAAATAGATAGTTAAACAACAACACATGAAATAAACAGGGACAAATTCTCTGCTTGATGACAGCATCCACGACTAACCCTGAAAATACTAACTTTAAGCATGAGGAAAAACATCTTTTGTCATGGTGACTCCCGAATTCGTTCCATCATTGGGCTCAGATAGATCGCATTGCTATCAGCCACCGGTCGAGGTGCTCGGTAGAAGACTGTCGCTCATTCTGGAGAATATACTTAGATTCAGATCATGCTCTAGTGCGAGCGCGTATTTGTCTTCGTCTTACTGGACGTGGGAAAGACGCTGCAAGGAAACCTCTTAGGGCCCTACTTAATGATAGTCAAGCTAAGAATATATTTCAGGAACAACTAGGAAAACAGTTAGGCAGCCATGTGATGCCCACCTTGAGGCAGCGTGGAATGACATCTGAAAAGCTGTGGAAACAGCAGTGATATCTGCTAACACGGTAAACCAATGAGAAACACTGGATTTCAGCAACTTCTAACTCACTGATAGATGCTCGAAAACTCATTCCATCTGGCTCTGAACATTACATAGTGCGGAGTTAGCTTAAACGCAAGCTGACAAGAAGCCTACGCAATGATCACGAACAGTGGTGAGTAGCGAAAGCAAGAGAGATGGAAAAGTCAGCGGCAATAGGTAATAACAGACAACTGTTCAGACTTGTTATGGAAACCGGTATTAGGAACCCAACTGTTAGCGAATCTATCTCAGAAAAAGTTGGACGTAATACTCATTCTCACTTTAGGAGATTGAATCGATGGACAGAACACTTTAGGGATCAGTTCAATTGGCCTTCAGCCACACTTCGGTTTCCCACGATCTCCAGTCAACTTGAATGGCAAGTTAATGTAGTTCCTCCGTCCCTTTACGAAGTTGAAAAAGCCATAAGAAATCTGAAACGAGGGAGAGTAGCAGGCCCTGACAGGTTTACTCCTGAGATTTTTAAGGATGGTGGTCCAGTATTAGCAATGAGATTAACTGAGGTCTTAGGTAGAATTTGTGAACTGGACGTAATCCCATCTGACCGGTCTCAATCACTGATTGTGCCAGTCTATAAGAAAGGAAAAAAGTTCTCTTGTGACAATAACAGAGGAATCAGTTTGACAAATATAGTGTCTAAAATATTAGCCTCAATAATACTTCGACGCCTAACTAAAGCTCGTGAAGAACAGACTAGAGAAAATCAGGCTGGTTTTCGACCTGGACGTGGTTGTATAGACCAAATATTCACACTACGTCAGGTTCTAGAACACAGACATCCCACAATGGTAGTATTTCTCGACCTTAAGGCGGCATTCGACTCTGTTGATCGTGAGGTTCTATGGCAGTGTTTGTCACTGAAAGGAGTACCAAAGAAGTACATTAACCTTGTAAAGGCTCTCTACTCGAACACAACTGGTAGGGTGAGAGGTTATGGCGAACTGTCATCAGAATTGTTTACCTCAAGTGGTGTTCGTCAGGGCTGTTCACTCTCTCCATTCTTGTTCAACTTCGTCGTCGATGTACTTTTAGAGATAACACTTTCCTCGTCTAGATTTCCAGGGGTTGAACTTCTACAGGGTGATTTACTTTTTGACACTGACAAGTGGATTGAGCCATGCTGGGAGGTGCAGATTACCTGGTTTTGGACTGCGAGATGATAGAAACCGATGATTAGAGACCCTGAATGACATGGCTCAAAATCGTTTGCAATGGCACAGGTGCATCCTCTGTTTGTGTTCTCCCAAATTCTAATCTTCTGAATTCTTCATGTCCCTTTCTTTTTTCTCTTTCCGAATTTATTTCACTGAATTATACTCCTTGAATAACATCTTCAAATCCTAATGTTTCCGAATACTGCTTATACTTTTACTACCTCTACCACTACGGGATTCGAATCGACAAGTGCATTTCTGTGCTAATGTGGTGTGGCAACTTGAACTGATGTACGTACTTACGAAGTTCTTTGTTGTTACTGACTGATCTATTTTTGAAACTAACTGAAAATGTGTGAAGTATTTAAAAAAAAAGTAGGTTTTCACTGTAGTATACGGTATTGTTTTCTTAACTGAAGCATAGTCTTTTTTTCTAAATACAGCTGAGGTTCGTTGTAAATATTTACCCGTTTGTCTATAATTGTTATGTTTAGTTAGAATCTAAGCTATTCATATTTTTACCTAATGATCAATATAGAACTTGAAACAACTGGTCATTCGTTTAGATTGTCCCGAAAGGTAAAAAAAAATCAACGGTTTTCCTAATATTTTGTAACTTTCATCAGTCATACAAATCGATCCCAGAATTGTCTTGTTATGGAATATATACTGAAATCACACATTACTTCGTTATGTTCACTTAGTGTTTTGTCAGTAGTGATTGATTTAATTTAGAGAAACAAGAAATCAAAGAGCACTGAATAGCTATTTTGTTTTTCATAACTCCCTACTCTCCAACCTGAAATGTTTAGGTGTCCGGTGTATGTATAACATCAGGTTATCTGAAACCTCTTCAAACTATTAATGTTGTCTAAAACGTCTTCACGGACTAATCACATAAAGGGCTTACTTCACTTTGATGGAATCTCCATAATTTTATTTCTGATAATCCATCAACTTTGATTATTCATTGAGGTTAGTGATCCGCTTGTCAAATCAGTTAGGTTATTGACTGTTTTGTTGAGTTAAACATATTTGTAAAGATACATTCGACTTTAAATCAGTGTTTGTCACTTAATAAAAATATACCTTTCCAAAATTTACTTTTTAGGGCGTCCAGTTAATATCTGCTATACATTATTACGTGATCATGCCGAATTCACTATGAAAGGTTTACTGTATAAATTATCATATCTAGGCTATCCAGCATATCATTCACAGTTGCCAGTCACTAAATTTCTGGATACTTCACCTTCATCTGAATCAGATATTGACAAAATTCCATGGATTGTTGATCGTTTATTGTGTCAGTTATTCGTTCACTGCATAATTAGTAAACACCAGCAGCTAGCTATGAAAGCAGCGTTAACTCGTTCTTCAAAAGGTTTTGACCAACAATGTAGTTCTGTAAATGGTATATTTACACAACAAGGGTGGAATAATCTTCAGTTGTGTGTAAAGCAGTCAGAAGTATTTTACGACGTAATATGTAGAAATCCCAGTAATGTTACTAGTGATTGCAATGTTGTTCATGATAACACAGATCGGTCTGTTGTGAATATTTTACTTAATCCAGAATCATTTGAGACACAGTTCAGGTCAATGTTTATGACATGGTATTCCTGTAATATATTTAAATACAATTGGGAACATTTATTTGGATTGATTGATCCAATATGTAAAAGTAAGTAAACATTTCCGTGTTCATAATATGATGTTCTACTCGGACAACTTAGAATATGGGCATATCATGCTTGAATTCAAAAAACTGTTACTCAAATATGTATAAGTCTATCGCGTCTGCGACACTAACATAACTACCCTTGTTGTTTATTTAGCATTCTGATAATTTATTGCATTTGAGTCAATATGCACAGGTTTCATGTAAGAGTTTAAAGGAATACTAACTCATATTTTGAATTCCTGTTGACTGAAAAATACAGTTAATTTTGTTTGTTAGGAAAGTAATCTTCCCGTCTGGTTTAGGATTTTGTGGAAATCGATCCTTTATACTTACGTTTAAAATTTTCGACTGCTCGTATCACTTGGGAATAGATTTAGTCAGGTTTCTGATTAACTGTAATTATAGATGGGGAATTAACGGCAAACTTTTGTTTCCATGACTTCGAATTTCAAACACGTCCAATTCTTTTCGATCAAATTCAAAGTTGTTGTTGTATACCTCAGTTTGACCTTTCTGTAAACTGGTTCCGTGTATCAATATAATTATCAGTAATAATACGAATAAGGTACATTGTCTCTCTTGGCAGTTAAAATGTATGGGTGATTGATGGTACAAGCAAAAGAAAATCAGTAAATGGCTAAGTATCCGTTGATATATTCATAAGCCCTAGTTAAATGAACTATCATATACTCTGCTTTGGACAGCTTTTTATGTGGCGAGCAGTAATATTATTCAACTGTTCGACTCAAAATAGACGAAGTGTAATTTAAGCTAGTAATTAAATAGTTCGAAGGAATATGCTATGGCCACTGAGTCATCGCTCCAAATAGATTGTATGAATTAAAATATAGATGGGATCAATCTTGTCTTCGTATATGAAAGGTTATTGATGATAAGCTTTTGTCTTACCGTCGTTGCTGCTATGCATTGATGTTTACTTAATACAAACGTTTGCAAATGAAAGTTGTCAGTCTATGTCCCTAAATTAAAAAAAAGATATATGGGGGATCGTTTGTTTTACCTTTCAAGGAAAAATTAAATAAGAAAAAAAGATTAGTTCAGCGAAGAGTTCTCTTTTCAGCGAATTCATTTTCAAAGCTGTACAATCGCAAATATATATACATATTTTTACAGGGTGATAATAATACTGATAATAAACTTGTTATACATGGTGACAGTAAGGTTAAATAAACAAAGGTATTAGAAAAAAATTTTTTGTAAAACAAGGAAAGTTTAATAATCGTTTGATAGTTAATGGCCTAAGTATTCATTGGGTAAGGATGGCTCAGCATGATAAAATAAAATGTTGAAACAGAGATGAAATGTAATCGGAATGATCGTGGAAATAAAAACAAACCGGTTGGGGGTAGAAGATTTGAAGGGAAGATGTAAGTTGAAGGAGGCGGCTATAAGGGAACAAGAGTATGAAGAAAGAGAAAATTTTAATACATTAAGACCATAGTAGAAGAAGAGGTTGTACCAGTCTCTTTTGTACACACAATTCTGGTTTTTCAAAATGTATGGCTATTGCCTCGGCAATCCAAAGAAGATGAAGTCTAATTGTCTTAGGAAGGCTGACTGTATAAAAACATAGAACTACACTGATGTAAACGTTTTTTTATCATAGCTAACAAATAAATACAGGTGCTTACTTTCATAGTACAAACTAATGTGGATATGAAGTATCCAATTTATCATGTAATATAACTTAATAAAATGGATTTATCCACTTTTTTCTCCATTGTAGGCAACCAAAGACATGGAATTTATGGGCATTCAGCAGCATGGAGAATTTGGAATTATGAAGAGTCCGTATGCATTCAAACTGCAGGATTATATGCTGCCTCAATTGAACTAATGTCCAATTTTATGTTGCCTAATGAACTGACATCAGTTGTGTCTGATTTCCTAACTAATTGGTTAGTTGTTTTGGGCATAAAATCTGTTTATTTTTATTTCACACTAATGTATGTCGATTGAAAGTGGATTGTTTATAAAAAATTTGTCATACTTGATTTTATCTAAACGATTAAGAAATAATTTATAGTGTATGGTAGTAATGTCAGTACGAAATTCTTAAAACTTCAATAAAATATTTGTTGTACTTTGAAACCTAGTCATTTATGATTATTTTGAAGCTAGGTAAGACGTGTGCTCGAAATAAAAGAATGTTAAATTCTGTCGCTTGACTTTCTGTCTTATTCTAACAGGAAAATATTTAAAGACTGATAAAAAGAAAGACTTGGAATCGACTCGTGACATTACTACTTGCACAGTAAACACACTCACATATATACCTTCATCTCTACAGACGTTAAAAAAACCCATTTTTGTCCACAGACCATTTGATAACAAGTTAAGACCAATTTTACCTTGATATATATGGAAATAAGCAATAAATTTAAAGAGAAATCAATTAATTCATTATATTGTCATTGAAATATTGATGGAGTTAAAACGGGAATCATTTAGCAATAAACATGCAAACTCAAATAATTGAAAATACGAATTTCACACGTTAACTAGAAGTGTGAATATCTTGGCAGTGCCAGTAGTGAACTATACATTTATATAATTTGTCAAACTACATTTTCAATTACCCAGAGATTTCTGGCTTTTGTTATTTTCCTCTCATTTTATTGATGTGAAAAAATATTTTACTCTCCTTGTATTAGTGCGAAACATATAAATTTCAATCAACTACAAAATATCACTGGCGCACTAGCTGTTATTTTACCTGTGAGTTAATCATTTTCAAATTTAAATTTTGGTGAATTTCAACTTGGTTGTGAAAATTTGTTTTTATATTAAACCAACATTCAGGATTGAACATCTGTTTGGTTTTTGACGACTTCGTAAAAGTATTTTCCAGGAAATCAATTGACTAACTAACTACCTAGAATAACGTACACAAGCGACACATTCTTCTTATTCAGAAGGACCTATTTTGAAATAAAATTGCTCAAATAAACCAGTAAGATTACAGCGATATAAAAGAGCGATAAACTGATCGTAAAAAGACAGGAAACAGTTTATCTTGAATTGGATATATCTGTTTCAGTGGAACCGTACGCGAAGTTTTCACTTTTGTTTTCCATGAACAGGAACCATGTAATACATCCTTGGAAATGAAAGCCAAACTTTTCTTTATTCGATTTCTAGTCCTTTTTAGTTCAGACATTTTAAAACCTGTCTCACATTATCACTCTTATATCAACTAATATCGTGTTGAGCCTACTAAGTTGTATTATTTTATGCAACATAATGATGACACTGATTAATTTTTATCAGGTGAAAATACTCTGTGCTGTTCAGTTTCTATGAATTTGAATAAATAGTAATGAAATTATGTCATTATTCTTCGTCATCGCTCATAAATTAGCAGCTGTCCATTAAGTTTAGATGAAGTGGTTTTGTGGAAAGTATTTTAATCTATAGACGATATTCGTCATACATCGATATCTGTTGTAGTACTGTTATAAACTAGGGGGCATTGGTCATCTGATTCGTTCTAATATTGGACTCCTCAGCACTGCGCTCCACGCACCCCGTCTAGGATTGAACCGAATACTTTCAGATCTCAAGATGTTCGCTTTGTAATCATACCAGTGAATTTTACACAATCTTACCGTTCATGATTCAACAGTCGTCTAGTTCTCCATGTTTTTAGTGATACCCCAATTAAAACCAGCCTCTAATAAATACCATCTATATAGTTATTAAGTCACTTAAATCATATATCAACTAAAGTTGGAAATTTGAATGTCATTTTCAAGATTTTGACATGCAAATAAGAAATTTATGTCAGTTCACAATTATTTATGAGGTTGTACTTAGTGAGCATAACGGCCATCTGACAATTTGTTTTCGTCTAAACTATGTGTATTCAGAGAAAAATTTTAAGCCCGTACATAATTTGGTTATTATTGAATTAAATTCAGAAAATTATCATATTACTGTTCGTTTCTTTGTAATTAATGCCCTTTATTTTCAGAGTGTTTACCGATTTCCTCTGTTTAAATTTTGCGTCACCCTATTCAATGACCCAATTCTTTGTGACACCACACCTGAATCGAATCCAATAGATCCAGATAATATGTTCACGTGTATCTCTGATGTAAAGTTTACTAATGATCATAATACTAATACTAAGTGGCGTCGTTCGTCAAGAGCTTTACGTCATAGAAAATTGCTAGATGTTAATTTAACCTCTGTAGATAACGTCACTTTAACATCTGAAGGTGCATCATTTAAAGACGGAAATACTTCACTGCTAAAACCACCAAAAGTAGCTTTACATTTCTTCGAAAAATATCTTCCATTAGATCAGAAAACAGACTCTGATTTGGTCGATACACTTAGTAATGGGGGCTGTAGTGTTATTGAGATATCACATCAAAGTGCTGAAGCAAGCCAAACTCTGAAGGACAATTTCAATAACTCGGACTTTTCGTCCGATGTGACGGAATACCTGATTAAAGCTAATTTATGGCATTCAATTTGGGCACATGCTAACACATCACATCTAGCATCGTTACCTGGGTAAGCTTATCTTTCACATAATGTATTCATATATATATATATATATATATATATATATATATATATATATATATATATATATATAATTGGTAACCTCGACGTACGAACACGAAATAATTTTCGACGATATAATCTAGTTTCGAAAATTCCACGCATTTGATTTGCTGTGTAACTCCGATCTGCTGGTAGAATCACGGCGTCACAGACTTATAAACGGTAGCCACATCACTTTGATAATAGGGACACTTACGGAATCCATTTACATGAACCTAGACAAAAGCCGCGGTGATCCATGTAAATTGTTGTTAACAGAGTTTCTCGAACTCGTGAAAGTAACGTACAGTAAGGCGGATCTCAAACGCTTCATTCAGCACCACATTATAGCAAACGGGCCAAGAAGGTTGGATCCGAGAATATTAAAAATTGCGAAACAAATATTCGACAAGCTGATGAGACTAGGAATTGTAAGGCCTTCGAGCAGCCCGTGGGCATCCCCGTTACACATGGCCCCGAAGAAGAATGAAGAAATTAGCCCGTACGGAGACTATCGAGCACATAAAAAACAGACAGTAGCCGACATATATCCTATACCTCACATTCATGATTTTACCAACCATATGGAAGGCGCTACTGTTTTTTCGAAGATGGACCTAGTTAGAGGATATTATCGCATTCCTGTAGCGGCGCAAGACATACCAAAAACAACAGTAACAACCCCATTCGTGTTGTATAAATTTCTGGGCATGCCTTTCGGATTGACTAATGCAGCGCAAACATTTCAACGATTTATTGACCAGGTCATCAGAGGTTTACGTGAAGTGTATGCGTACATCGACGATTTACTAGTAGTCAGCGCCTCTACGGATGGGCAACTACGACAACTATTCATGCGACTGCGAGAACATGCCATCTCCATAAACGCCGAGAAGCTTAAGTTTGGAAAGGGATCCTTACAGTTCCTAGGTCACATAGTATTACATCGATCTCAGCAAAAGTCGATGCCATCGGAGATTATCCGTTACCCGACTCACGAAAGAAGTTACAATCTTCTTGGAGCCAGATCCCGGGCCAAAAAAGTGGTGAGTCCGATATGATTCAAACACACAGCCTCCTGATCTGGAGTTAGACGCGCTACCGTTGCTCTACAGGCTCACCAATTTTGTAGTCGCCGCTTTTCATTGCCTTCCGATTTCAAACATCGTTGAGGTTTGTATAATAACGGTCACAAGGGTGATTGATTAACGAAGCAAAGCCACTACAGGATGACCGGCATGGTTGTATGAATGATTGTTTTCGAAACCGAACCTATGGCTGTAATGGTGTGCATATCAGAAGACAACCACTGATCAACTGAACAAACACACATGATAAGAAAACGAAACTATCATTTACGCGCAAGATTGTGCTCACAAAACTGTTAAACAAGGCTGAATTTCTTATTGTATCATTCATGAGTTACAGTTGTAAAGGTAGCCAATCAGTTTAAAGGTTCTTTAATGTTTCAGTCTAAATCGATTTTTTTTCTCAGGCAGTGGTATGTAGATCTCTTAGCTCATTATATCAACACGATATTTCGTTCTATGGTATCCGGTAAATAAAATTGGTTGTAGTTATCTCGGAAATATTTCTAAACCAAAGGACGTGAATTGTTACTTAGTATGTACACTAATTTTTAAAGATTGTGAACCGAATCAAAGAAATGCGATTAGTTTCACTTAGACCGTATACAGTATTGATTTATAGGTGTCATCAGGACACTATATATAGTAGTATACACTACTTAGATGCCATTGGTTAGACATTGCTAACTTCGCGACATGGCGTAACTGTCATTCATCTCACTTCCTACCTGGCTAACTCTACAAATTGGGTATTCTCAATATATAATCTTGTAAATCCCAGGTTATTCTTCGATTGCTTTCTAGCTGTTATCATTGTATAATGGCAAAACTTCAAAATTTTGATCAAGATACGTTGATTATATGCCTTGAGATTATGAGCTCTAGATGAAAATAAAAACTGTGCTTCTCTCTGCTGTGTTTTGCATGATTTCGCGAGTCAAATGACAGCTGATAAAATTATATGCTAATGAGCCTAAACGTAGCTAAGCTATCGAAACTACATGTTTAGAATAGCTTTGATTTGCAAACTACCTTTTGGTTTTCTGTCTTTTGCAAAAGCGAGTTGAAACTATTTACTCTAAAAACAATATTTGATGTTTATTTTTGTAATCTGACTGGTGATTTCATTCCCAATCTACTCATCAGAAGTGTTAACGTGTGTTAGGTAAAAATTGACCATCATTTCGTAGTAACATTTTGGTTGTATATTTTTCCAGCTATTTTGGAAATATTTTGTAAACCAGTAAATATTTAAATAAAAACAATCCGTTTAATATTTATCAGTGGATTATTTTACATCTACTTAATTGATATGGTACTTGTGTACTTCATTCAAACTAGTACTGAACACTAATTCCTTTCAATTCATGTTTTTACGCTATGCTATATGTTTTTAGATCGTACTTTTAGCTCTCAATTTGTCGTCCTAGCGACATTTTTACTTAATGGAGTTCACTTTATGATTGCTTGTTTTTCATCCAGTTTTACTAACATTAAAGTAAACTTATGCAATATAATTTGTGTTTTTTTAAAGTCTGTTTTCTACGGGATGAGGTTGCTGACCCCATGCCCAACCCTCCTCCTTTATCCGGGCTTGGGACTGGCAGTAACCGTAGAAGAGTTACAGGTGAAATTTGTCCAACATACTTACAGTTTTTATTATATGTGTATAATTTTCAGCATCCTAATTCTCATTCAATTTTTAAAAGCATTTTCTCAGATCTCATCTTACCGGAATTGCACAATGAAGCTCAACTACTGATGGCATTTTATCTGGTTGCACCATTAATGGGATCTTTGCACTCAGAGCGTCCAGCAAAATTAGTCGATGTAAGTATTTGTTTTTTATTGTGATTTGTTTACGGAATACACCATGTTTAAGTAGAAAGATGTTTTTGCATGAATTATATCTATTTTTATTAAGGATAGCGTCAAATATGTTGTAGAGGTGTTATTTCTTTGTGGCTCACATTTATACAATACCTTTTTAAAAAAGAAAATATAGAAAAGATAATGAATAATTCTCACTTTCGATTACCTGTTTATTGAAACCATAAGTGAATTGATGATCTGCAACAACTTAAAAATTTATTGTTTCTATGAGGAACCATTTGCTCATTACTTCTTCCCGCTCGTCCGATCGATAGAATTTTTCGACTTTCTAGAATTGTAATCTCTACTGCTAAAAAGTTGTGGTTGATAACGAATATTTCCAAATGACATCATAAAAAGATCATTGTACGTTGTTTCATTGAGTTTTTCAATTATTATCCACTAAGGCGCATATAAATAACCTAGCTATACTGACCTGCTTCTAATATGAGCAGTTAGCAGTTATCACTAGCTCTCACACACTCGAAGTATGACGTAGACGGACTGGGTGAACCTGTAGCCGATTACTGAGTTTGATATAGTATGTCATTTTTTTCTGCAACGTATCAGTAGACTACTTAATACCCCTTGAATAAATTAGTTCACTATCAGACATCATGTAATTTCCGGTGACTTCACTCATACTCACCTAACTTATATCAAAACTAGTTTATCCTATATGCTTCATAATTTTTCTATTTTTAGTTAACTGCTGAACTTTACAAAGCTGTTTGGAAAGTTGATACTATTTTAGCTAAATCAAACTATCAAAACTCCAGTGATTCGGAAATTTCAATGGATATAAGTAATTCAAAACAACTAGGCGAACATTTACCTTCGGAAACCGGTATACCATTAGTACATGTTGATACAATTGCTGATTTATTGTATCATATTAAATATATGTACGTAGGCAATGGCGTGCTCGATCAAGTTCGCCCACTACTGCCACAACTTCGACCAAGTTTGCGTAAACGTCTCAAATTCATATTACCTCAAGATCCATCGGTATCACAGCAGCAACAAAATCAAAATGATTCACATCCAATATTTGAAGGTCGCGTATATCGTGCATCTATTAAACCTCCATTGTGTAATGGAGACTTTTAAATTAAATACTTTATATTCATTTCTTACTGTTTGCAAATGTATGTAACAAATTAGTGTGATCAATGAAGACAATGCTTTAATTTCTTTGTGTACCACCGACACAGCTGTATTTATTGTGTATAATAAAAGCTATTTTTATATCTATCCCTTCAGTTGTTTCCACTCTTAAACAGTGCACATGCGTAAACTAGTAGTGCTTGAACGGTCCGAACAAACTGTCAATCACATAAAATTTTACTACTAAATCGTAGTTCCAGTGATCTAGCTAATATATAGCTTTACATAAAAAGTAAACTTCACTTAGCATGTCTAGCCTGTTTCCATTTCGTTAGTTAAATACTATGTAATTCAAAAATGACTTAACATTGGTTCTATAGAAGATTAGAATAAGTAGAATCTAATGCAATTTTAGTGTCATAATCAGTTGAAAACAGTTTGGAGTTCGATAAATCTTCTGACTGACAAGATTTATGTAACCAGCCTGAAATAGGTAATAATAATCTCGATGTTTATGATCACCAAGATCGAAAGCCTCTTAGGAATAACTAACAACTTTATATGAAACAAAGATTGTTTTACAATAAAAACAAACAAGTGTTTTTCTTAAACACAAATGTTATTGATTGAGATCATGAACCGATTAATGTTAGACCATCACAATTGGAAACCTGGAAGCACTGGACAGCCGTTTCGTCCTATTGTGGGACTCCTCAGCAGTGCGCATCCACGATCCCGCGAGCGGGGTTCGAACCCAGGGCCTTCGGCCTCGCGCGCGAACGCCTAACCAACTGGACCACTGAGCCGGCATCCAATGCTGATAGTTTCTAACATCAACCAATCCACGAAATTGCGCGACCAACTTCCATTGTACTGAGGTAGATACCTGTCTCTACCCGACAAGGTCCAGTTGGTTAAGCGTTCGCGCGCGAGACCGAAGGCCCTGGGTTCGAATCCCGCTCGCGGGATCGTGGATGCGCACTGCTGAGGAGTCCCACAATAGGACGAAACGGCCGTCCAGTGCTTCCAGGTTTTCAATTGTGATGGTCTAACATCAATCGGTACATGATCTCAATCAAAAACGTAATAATCTCCACAACCCCTATACTAGTAATTAACATGTGCTCACTAGTGACTAGCTTCGTGAGGGAATTCTCGGAGTTCTAGTGAGAAGCCGTGACCAGTGGAGCTAATCCTTGTCGGGTAGAGACAGTTATCTACCTCAGTACAATGGAAGTTGGTCGCGCAATTTCGTGGATTGGTTGATGTTAGAAACTATCACCATTGGATGCCGGCTCAGTGGTCCAGTTGGTTAAGCGTTCGCGCGCGAGACCGAAGGCCCTGGGTTCGAATCCCGCTCGCGGGATCGTGGATGCGCACTGCTGAGCAGTCCGACAATAGGACGAAACGGCTGTCCAGTGCTTCCAGGTTTTCAATTGTGATGGTCTAACATTAATCGCTCCATGATCTCAATCAAAAACTTAATAATCTCCACAACCCCTATACAAATGTTATTGTCTAGTTACCGTTTTTCATCATGTAGAGTATATGTTGCCTACGGGATATAGCAAAATCTATTTATATAAATTATCAAATAGCACTTCATAAGTGGTAGGCATGTTGTGATTGGAGTAGTTTGCTTACCGGCCTTTATTACTAATAAAAAATTCTTCCATATATTTTAAATAAAGATATTTTTGCAAACCTGGTTTTCATAATAATTTCCAAGCAATCGAAAGTGAATATAAAATAGATTCTTGTTACATTGTAGTCTTTCTTCAACTAGGAGCAGCCTAAAATAATGACTAGTTTTTAAGTAATAAATGCACTAAAACTTATTAAATGTATTTAAAACGACGAAATTACAGTTGTACTCACAAAATTGTCAACTTAGTCCATGTGAGAAAAAAAATGCACTACATATCATAGGAATTTGAAAACGGATTTTGAGAGGAGGGAATTATTTACTAACCAAGATATTGCGTAAGGAATTCAAATGTGTGACAGTGACCTTCATGTTACAACAATACGACGTCTGATATCAAGTATGTAGTTATTATTGAATCTTATTATATGATGTATAACATCAATGTGAGTCACCTATCAAAAGAACAAGCCCGGAAAGCCCTAGTACTTACGATGATAAATACTTTGTTATTACGTATGCTCTAGGTTCAGTAACCTTATCAAGACTACAGTTTTCAGGCCGGACTCAGCCTACACGTCATGCTGGATGACTCATTTTCTAATTTAATTAACGAGTTCTACGTCAAGATCTATTAGCATCGATAATATTAGGGATGAATTAGGCAGTATATATTAGCAATTGGGTGATATAAGTCCTAAAATGGAGTCACTTGCAAGCTTTTCATCAGTGCATGGTAATATTAAGCAAGAACTAAAAAGCATTATCACCACTTAAGCTATTATTGTCGAAGGATGTGGTGCCTAGAGACATCTATCCTGTTTAAGTTCGATCCACATTTATCAACCGAACAACTGAAGAAATTCCAATGGTTAGTCTGCACGCTTACCAACTTTATGAACGCTCAGGTACAACCACCAATCAAAGGCTTACGTAAAAGCGTACAATAATGAAAATCATGATGTAGAAAATATAACAGATCCCGTCGCCTCAGTAGCAGGACCCACTGATGCTAACTTGTCACGTAAGCCTGTAGTGACCTCAGACAACCAATGTATACTTCATGTAAACAGATCTGTTATCTCCCAATCTGACATTAGAAGCTCATACCCAAATGCCTAGTTCTAAAGCGAAAGTTCTTCAAAACACTGTTAAGACTGAAAAGTCTAAACCATATGAAAGAACGTATATACAGAATTGTCTGGTTTCAAAACTAGTACCAAAATTATTACATACAAGGGAAATATAATCCTTGATACCAAGTTCGACCGTACCAATCGTAGGGATAGTTATATGGGCACACAGGCAACAGGTAGTCGATTCACCATTACATCATATAAGGTGAACTTGCGAAAAATTGGCGACATGTCACTGCCCCAATTTCTAAATTAAAGCAATATACTCCGAGCAAATGACGCACAAAACGAACACCACAATCTTCGTGTAAACAGGCCTAAAATTATACAGACTGCAAGGAGCTACAGTGTCTCACAGTTGCTTCCACATGTTTTACATACTGAATCTGAAGATATACATTTTCTTATCACTTTCTCGATAAACAAGACGAACTACTAGGTCACTCACTATTAACTTAACCCCAACGAACAGGTGACTGTTTGCCAGGTCAGTTTGAGCAAATAAGGCCACCTTATCAAAATAAGAATATTTTTGACCTTCAGAAATCCTTGATGACTCTAGCACGATAGTTTGCTCAAGCCATAGCCCATACGATAAACATGTATTTCTGAAAATCGATCTTTCATGACTTTTCAGTTTGACTTCTTTAATTTAGTCTTTACTCAACATAACTAAGGATGTCTAGTTTCAGTGATACGCTTTGACATTTCTGAAGCTTTCGATGTACATAACCACTCGCTTCTAATAGACAAAAGCCCTCTGCTTGCTTGATTTAATCCTTTCAGTCACTGACACCAAATATTCAAAATCAACTCTTCCTTGTCAGATGCTGTCCCTATCAGGATTAGTGTAATACAAGGTAGTGTCTTAGGCACTTTATTATTTTAGTTTATATCAATGATATTTACGATTGTTTTTGTGTGAGTAAGCCTCTTCTATAGGTAGATGATTTTAAAGTAGTGTATTCATTTTTTCCTTATGAGCTGAACAATATACAAAATAACATCAGTAAGGAGCTTAACAATATAGCCCAATGGCGCTCAAAATGGCAGCAGGTAATATATCACTCAACTTAGATATTACCATAAATGATAAGGTGTTATTTAAGTTACGTACAGTAGTGAACTTAGGTATTTCTACAATTTGTCCACAAAACAGGTCTCGAAACAGGCCTCCAAGTCCCATAATTCGAAACTTCTATCATCCTCGCCCACACATCAGTTACTTTACCTCTAAAACGACCCTGGCAGCCCTAACTAATTTGAATAATATCTAATACGAATAGTGTATCATAAAATAACCTAACATATTTTATTATAAACCTGATTAACTTACTGTAGTAATTATTGCCTTTTTTGTTTCGTGCTTTTGGTGGTTTTGTTCTCTGAGCTGGATGGTTCGTTACGTGCTCTCTTCTTTCGTCTTATTTTCAATAGTTGTAGATGATTATAATCAATTCGTTATGGACCAGTAAATGACTTTAAATGCACCGTTCATGCATCAACAGGATATCAACTTAAAAAGAATTAAAAATATCCTGCGGACGCATGTGAAAAATGTACTACCAAAGCAATTTTTAAACTAGTAAACTTAAAACAATCTTATATCATGGTTCTGTTCTTTATATTTAATATTATTGTCCATATCGAGCTGATCATGCCTGTAAACTGGCATAAGTTCTGTTATTATTATTTTCAGAATATATTATCATTATTATTAAGTTGTCGATAGTATTATTATTGAGATCGACTAGTTAAATTATGTAGGTGTTATTGTTCAGTTATTCTTATGCCCAATTATTGGAGCAATAGCCGGATAATCATCGTATCTTTTTGCTTACATAGAACACACATTTTATTGGGTGACCTAGAGGAAAACAGAAGGATTGATAAGTTCTTTTTGATATATATGAAATGTTGAAAATATGTTTTTAGTACTTTTGTCTAATGTTTCCAGTGATCTACACTTTATTTTGTCTTCTAAAAAAACCAAGTTGTGCTTTTAGCTATTGCTTTGTGCCTGATTCCATAACTGAGTTTAGAAACAGTAAATACACTTGAAATCAACATAACCAGGAGAGATGTCTATCATATACTGATTCGTGTTGACAGTTTCAAATGTTGTTGAACATTCACTACTGAATAAACTGCTAATTATTTTTGCCAGAAAGAAATTATGTTTTCAAAGCATTCCATTTCGTAAACACAAATTTTTTTAGTTACAGTGAAGCTTTTAATTGTTTCACTTTTAGTGTCTTGACTTCCATTTTTATGATAAAACATCTATAAACGCATGATACTGTAGCGTGGCGTCGAGTCTAGGTTGACTATGATTATTATTTATTTATTTGAACACATAAATAATG